AAGTTGCTCTAAAGTTGTCCAGCCCTGGATTAGTGTTGGACTGGGACTTGGACAACACAGGTTCTTGTTCCCATTGTATCCTAAGAGCCCACTCAGTGACCTTGATCCAGTTGTTTTTCTGCCTGAGCTACTTCCAGGGGTGTTTTGATATCAAGTGGGGAGGAAGAAAACTATGAGGTCATTGGAAAAAAAAGGGCACAATAGAAAGTCAACAAAAGAATTGCAGGAGAAGTGTTTCAAAAAAAGATAAATGCATTAAGGGTCTGGGCAGCAAGAAGAATTGAACCCTCAATATCTCTTAGTAGTAATGCAACATTAAACCAATATACTCTTCAGAGACCAAAATGAACAGGTCCTGAGTTACCTAGAAGGGCACCCTGGACTAAAAAGGGGTCTGAAAGTTTTGAGATATTCTTGAAACTAATATATATATATAAAATACTGTTTAATATTGTAGGAAATGTATCCAAGGGAATCACCGTAACAGGAAATTTTCCTATTTTCATTCTAATTAAAAAACAAAACAAAATAGGAGCCGAATGTCGCATTATCTTTGCACAAACTGGGGCATATGAATAGGATTTGTAGGGTGCATGGGGGACTACATGTTGAACACTTCCTCGGCCTACCAATTCTTCCTTGCTAATCCTTGCTTAATCTCGTTATTTCAGAAGAATGGGTAAGGGAAAGAACAGCTCACATTGGCCTGAATGGGCATGTCTAAATGGGTTGGGAAAGGCTTGGGGATATCTCTCCCAGAGGTTGTAGGAATATAAGAAGCATGTTCATGCCAAGAGGACCTGTCCATCCAGCTTGGTACTGTACCCTCTGACTGGCAGTGGCGCTCCAGGTTCTCAAGCAGAGGTGTTTTCCACCATTGGCAACCCCATAGCTCAATGGGGGAAGAAGGACTGTGTGACTCAATGGCATATATGCACTGCTTTGCAATACTTTACATGCAGAAAGTACCAGCTTTTGATCCCTGGCATCTTCTGCTGAGATTTGTAAATCAATCAATCAATCAATCTGGTAGAGTCCCTGCAGAGCCACTGTCAGGCAATGTTGACAACACTGGGCCAAATGGCTTGACTCCATGTAACACAGCTACCCAAGTTCCTTTCTCATACCCCACAGAAGCTGGGCATGGCTACCTCATGACTCCTCTGGACCTTACCTGTGTAGGGCCACTTTGCTTAGGAGCTGGCAGAGATCTCACAGGGATGATGGAGAAGGCAGCAAATAACAAAAAGCACATGGCAAATGAAAAACTGTACAGAAATTGCTGGCAGTGGTTATCATTGCCTTTCTCTTCATGTAAAGACTGTAAGCCATTTGAAAACAGTGTTAAATAAATTAATGGTGACAGTTATCCTTCCCTTTCATCTTGTCTTGTTTACAGCACCGGAAGTTTAAGTTAAGTACCTACCTGCTTCAGGTAGAAAGAGTGAGCCCTCTCAAAAAGGAATGGTACAAGACGGTCTAAAATTTGATCCTGTCCTATTCCACTGCAAACTAAATCTTGGGGAGTTCAACGTGGCTTTCTCCCAGGCAAATGAGATCAGAAAATTGTCAAATAACCAACAAGTAATTAAACTGTTTCTCATTTGTCTACTAAATGGCAGTACAATCTGCATGATTTGACCTCTCTGAGTCTGGGAACAAAGTTAAGTTATTTAGGAAAAGATGTAAATAGTAATCATGTTCTGGAAAATTGGGTGATGTTCACTTTAAGATTGTGAATCAGCCTCTGGCAGCTGATGCCTTCTGGGTGGCACGGCTTGGCAAAGGCAGCCAGAGGTGGAGCCAGCTCTATCAAGTCGGACACCCAACTTCCTCCCTTGCAAGACTTAAATATTGCTGTGATGAGGGTTGGGGAGGGTAGTGCCTCACCTGCCCAAACATTAGGAACCCCCCTTGAATTAGGCTTATTGCAACCTAGTGCTCAGGGATCAAGGGTGTCATCCTTGGCAGCATTTCTGCAATTGCATCTATTTCTATTAGAGCTGCTGCAGCTGTGGGGATTTGGTGCAACGTGAACCTGCATGCTGATGATTCACAAGATACTTCAATCGCATACCAGGGGCCAGAAAGAGACAGAGATAAAGAAAGTAACCGCATGAAATAATACAGTTCTAAGGAAGAGTGACATCCTCTTGTTTCTCTAGCACTCAGACAGGTTTCTGTAAACACATCCAAAAATTTCTGTTGCCCAGAAACTATAAGGAAACCCAAACAGTGAACAAAGTCCTGGAAGATTCCATGCTCATCATGCATCTGCTAAAGGTTTTTGTGAAAAGGAAAAAAAATGGGGGGTGGGGGGAAGTAGCTGTTCCTTGATGCAAAGGTGCCACAAGAGTCTCATGTGTGTTTACTTGGGGGTTTGCTCCATTTTGTGGGTAATATAGATATACACAGGGACATGAAGAAGAGCTGGTTGTTAGATGTTCAAGCAGAATTTTAGAGAAGATTTATAACAAGGAATGGTAAAAGTAGCCGGAGAGTGTGGCTGTTTTACTTGGACGTTAATGGGGCATATTCTAAGGTGAGTTCTAGAACTGTTTTTGGACCTAGAAGAGTCCAAATATAATGTACAATGCAATCCATGCATGTACATGTATGTACCTCGTATCTGAATAATAAATTCCACTGAATTCAATGAAATGTACTTCCAGCTAAGTGCACAGGAACATTGTAGGTTGCACAGGACAGCAATACTTCTACGTAAATCCGTCCAAAACCTCTTACAGTACTTTCCATCATGAGGCTACTATTCTATACACACCTGCTGGGAGTAAGCTCTATTGAACCAGACAGGACTTCTAAGAAGGCATGTCTATGATTGCCCGCAAGATTCTGACGAACAATAGACGTCTGCGGTCACCTCCAACCTACCATATACGCATCTCTCTCTCTCTTCCCCCCCCCCACGTACTCCCCCCAATCCTCTCGCTTTGTTTAAGGACATCCAGCTTGAAGTAGCGTTTCTCGTGCACTGGAGAGCTTGTTCACTGCTTGGTGACATTTTCCTTGGGTTTAATAAACTAGGTGATTTATGCTACTTGGGATTGTTGAACTCCCAGGTAAGGGTACATCAAACAGCAGGCTGAACACAGTCTAAATCCACCTGGAATTCTCAAGCCAGTGAAGCCTTCCGCAGATTCACCCAGAAGAGCGGTGTCTGTGTCTGGATGGGTGGGGAGGACACGCGTGATGTAAGCAATCCGAATTGGGGGAAAGCGGGAAAGAGAGAGAGAGAGAGAGAGAGAGAGAGGTGCAAGAAAAAGCTCTGCGAGTTATGAAACTGCTAAAGTAGGACGGAGAGGTGGAGCGGAAGGGACGGGAAACCAGATCAAGCCTGGCAAAGCAGAGCCTACTTCTTGTTCAAATCGGCGATCAGATGTGTGTAGGGGAGGGTGCAATCGTCATCATCTGTTACAAGGGTCGTTTTTCCGGCGGCTCTATCCTTAGTGTCCGTGATGCCCTTCTTTATCTCGTCCTGTATTCCGAGACTCTTCCTCTGCTTACTCAGGGCTGCCCACGGACAATGATTTTGCCTTCTCTTCCCTACTGCGAACATCTGGGCAGAGGTGATCAGTCTTCAACAGTTCGCTCGGGGTAAAGCACCTGGGTGGCAGAGAATCTCTCTCTCTCTCTCTCTCAGTCTCTTGTCTCTGTGGGAAGAAGGGACATGGGTCTTGCTCATCCCTCAGGGTTGAAGTGAGGGGTGGAAGATAACCCCCCTGGGAAGAAAGCTCCCTGGGAAGCGGGGCTCTCCTGACATTACAAAACAGTGTGCGCGAGAGTCGAGGCGGCGGCCGCACCCAGAGAGAGAAAGAGCAAGAGAGAGAGAGAGGCTGGTGGTGGAGGTCCCCTCTCTGCTCCCCTGCTCAGCAAGGGTGACGGCGTCCTGGCGGCTGTGGGGAGGAGGAGGAGGATCAGAACCAACCCTCGGAGACGAGGACTCCACCTGTTCGCGCCCAGCCTGTCCGAGAGCCGCCGCCGCCGCCGCCGCGGTAGCCGGCGCTCCGCGTCTTCCCCGAGGTGAAGCCTTTGTGGCAGACGCCGGTTGACGGATGTTCGAGGGAGCGAGCTGGTGAATGTGCGTTTGTGGGAATGGTCGGGAGGAGGAGGAGGATCAGAACCAACCCTCGGAGACGAGGACTCCACCTGTTCGCGCCCAGCCTGTCCGAGAGCCGCCGCCGCCGCCGCCGCGGTAGCCGGCGCTCCGCGTCTTCCCCGAGGTGAAGCCTTTGTGGCAGACGCCGGTTGACGGATGTTCGAGGGAGCGAGCTGGTGAATGTGCGTTTGTGGGAATGGTCTGTAATGTAAA